TTGGCAACATTGGATTTGGGGCCCTCATTTTCTGCGAATAATAATAATAATAAGAAGAAGAATAGTTTAGTGTGTGTTTTAGAGGTAAGATCAGGCCTAAAAAATCCAGCCCGACCCGGCCCGAGCCCGACCAATTAACTTGATTTGCAGGCCCGAGCCCGAAAAAACCCCGAAATTTCATATTTTATTTGTGAGCACTCGGGAGGAGGAGGGGTGATTGATGATAACCAATTAAAGCCTGTCTTTTGTCACGAAATCTAACTTACACAGGACTGTATAAACATTTACATCTTTTATATTTCTGTTTCTACAGAGGGTACACGAACCGACAATTTTCCATCATTGACGGATATTTTTTAAGAGTTGACGGAAACATTTAAGGCCGTCCGTCATTTTGACGGGTTGAAAATTGGGCCATTAACTACAGCAGTGGTACGTCCTTAAGAACCAAGCGCGGCACTTTAAGAGAGAGAAGCAGAGAGACAAAGAAGAACAATGACTGGTGGATAAGAGACAGAGACAGGAATGAGTTCTTTGAATTATCATTGCAAGTGTTTAGTACAGTACGTGTTGTGATGAGGCGACTTCTGTTTTTTTGCGAACCACGGTCTCTCGTGGCCAAATCTATTCACGGCCTCGAAACGCCTCAGCGCACTGTGACGTTTGTGGAGCAACATCACAGTGAGTTGTGACAAGATACTGATTTAATCACGGTGTTTCTTGCACATCATGGCCCACGGACAAGCTCTGACACTGACAGGGCATTGCGCAATCATCCAGACATCTACGGACAAGTTTCAACACTTTTCTTGATGAAAATTTCACGGCCTGCAATTTTTAGTTCAATTTATCCAATAGTATTTTTGGCAGAAAAAAACGCAGGATTTCTTCAGGTAAAAATAATCTACATATTTTTATGAACATGATAAATGCATTTGCACAACGAAATAACGCTGAAAAACAGAATGAGAGGCCAGACAAAGAGACATCTTGATGCGCATTCGCTTAATTACGCGGAGAAATACCGCAGCCCACTAGGCTTTAAATCGAATAATGTAAATCAAATAAATGAGAAACGATAAAAGAAATTGTTATTTCTATAGTTTTGTTGAAACGAAATTTAACATAAAGTTTCAATTTTCGTTGTCTGTAATTTGGTCTGAAAATGGAAAATCGAATGAAATGATCGAAGAGCAAGAACACAGAAATCCAATAAATCTGCAAAAATAAACTAGATAAATAAATAACAACATTCTTTATTTTAATGATTTGCATCGGAACAGATAAAAAACAACCTGCTTTAAGAAGCATTGAAACAAAATAAATAGGAACATTTTCAGGAACACGCTTTTGGAATAAAAAAAAACAAAAACAATCCTAGCGTAATAACAGGCCCCATGTCTTTAGTTTATCCTTCACTTCTTGCTCCTCGATATTGGGGATAGCTGATCAAAAAAGATGCGGACTTGCGCAGGGAAATATTTTTAAGAGGGCGGCGTTCACGTGCGCTGAGCATGCTCTGGCTGTGCGGCTCATGTTTAGTAGTTAAAGAGCAATTACATTACAGCGCCTTCTCTGTTTTATCCAAATTATTGATTTTAAAACAAGTATTCCTTAGTTTAGTATCCACACATCGTTTTAGTCTTCATTTTTATAAACATATATTTATTAAAAAAATAGTCAGCGAGAGAGAAGCCCGGCCCGACCCGAAGC